ATTAAAACAAAAAATTACAAGTGACACAGAATTTCACTTAAAGTAATATTAATTTCACTGTATTAGTTGTAATACATAGTGTTATCTTCCAACCAGTTATTCATATTATTAGATATATGCATGTAAAATTAGAACAAGAAACATGAAAGAAATGTATAAGAAGTTAAGAAGAGAAAAACTACAAAGAATTGAAAAAAGGAGACAAAACAAATTAAGTATTATCTGCTCCTTTCCATCTTTGGCTGTTTTTATGGAGTATAGAGATTAAAAAAAACCAGTAGTGCTGTAAGTCAACAAAAAGTTTAGGTTATCCTTAGATGTCTCTGCCTCTGGCAAGGTACCCAGCCTTTCCTGGATGGAGCATCAATCCCAGGGGTGGACAGAGAAACAGGAAAATGACCAAAGGGCTTGTGGAGATAACAAAGAAGCCCCAGCAATCCCACAAGACAAGATCAGCCCAAGCTTTTTCCAGTTAGAACCCATAGCAACTCAGTGGGAAAACTAAAATCTTTACACATTCTTTACACGTTATATGTGATCTGGTGGTGAACATATTCCAATCCCTTCTCTTCCGATGGTCCAGGCATAACCAAGGGGCTATTTCAGGGGAGAGAGATCGAGGCCAAGAAAAGCAAAGAAGTGTGCTCCAGGTCCCACAGGAGAAAGCAGAGGAGCCTGGACTGAAAGGCAGGTGTGTGAGAAAGACCTGGGAACATGTCTTTGCCCTCCCACAACTCCACACTGCCTTCACAAGGGAGTGGCCAGCGAGAGAGACTTGAGCAGTGGCAGTGCAGGTGGGCTGAGACCTGGGCAGACTTCCAAGAGGAGCTGAGCAGAAAGGCATTCCAAACAGAGAGACTACCTGAGTAAAAGAAAGAAGAAGGGACACAGGCAAACGCGTGGGAGGGGGCAAGTAAGGCTGCAAAGCTACAGAACCTGAGGGGAAGGACCTTGGATACCAAGGGAAGGTGTCAGTTTTTTAATTTTCAGGAAAAGCTTTTTATTTATTTATTTAAATTAATTATTTACATTTGTATGTATTTGGTATAGGGTCTCACTACATAGCTCGGATGCATAGTGATCATCCTGTTTTCAGCCTCCCCAATGCTGGGATCACAGGTGTGTGGCACCACACCTGGTTTTGGTGGCCAGCTCGGGGCGCCCAGGAGGGAGGCTGGTGCAACATGTGGGGCCGGAGATTAAACCCAGGTCCCTGTGCTTGCCTAAGCA